TTCATTGCAAAACAAATGCCTTAAACACTGCACCATGCATTGCAATTTTGTGAAAAGCCGCAGTGAAATCATTTTAGGCGTCAGCAATCCCCAAAAAAGCCTGCAAAATCTAAAAATAAATATGTTGGTCACATTTCTAAATAACACTTGCTTGATCATCCATTTAAGCTTGCACTCCACAGGAGAGACGAGAAATAGCACCAAACAACAACATCTGTCAACTGTCTAACTCGATCCCAATATGGACGGAAACGCATTATAATTTTTATTTGTGGATTTTTCTGGAAGTTTTGTAAAAATGTGCGCTAAGATTTGGTAGGAAACTTGACTGGTGTCGTAACCAGGAAGTGGTTTCACTTCCAGCTCTCCGTGATGCTTTTCCACCCAACCCTTACAGGTTGAAAAGCTGTGTATGAAGACTGAAAGACCTCTAGTATGGCAGACAGAGGGTGCGTTACGTCACCCAAATGCCCTCTGCCCACTCTGGCAGCCGTAGTGGCCAGTAGGCTTAAATGGGTTAACAGACATAAAATGAGGTAATCCGCAGTGCTTGCAGTGCAGCGGGGTTGGTGAGGTTGCACTGGGTGCTGGCTCAGCGTTGTGTTTATCCCTCTGTGGAATCGACAGAGCATAAAAGAACTGCTGCAGTGAGCCGCTCTCATTCACAGCAGGATTAGTGGAGCATTTAGTCGTCTTTTTATTATGATTTTCTCTTTTTTGTCTGCCTGCCCCTGACAACACAAACACACTACCGGGCAACCTAGCTGACTCTCAGGGCAATGCTGTCCATATAACCAGCTCTTCGCACTCCATCCCTGCTGTCTCTTCTCCGCCTTCCTAACATCTGGGTCAGAGATAAGAAAAGTGTGACGTGTTAATTAGGCAATGCCTACAAAGTACAATACAAGAGTGCAAGCCAGTTCACGATCATTTTCTGTGGAGATATTCTTTGGTCTAGGTTATCTCACAGGTATATGGTTGTGGATTTTTCTCCAGGGACATTTTATGACCATCAAACATTGTGTGAGCTTTTGTCTAATTAGATGGATTTCACAATACGCTAACAAGACCTACTTGCTGGCAATGAGATAGGTCTTCTCTCCTCTCCCTCTCTCTCTATTCATTTGAATGCATGCCTCGGATGATAATGTTTTTCTCCTCTTGTCCAGGTTGGTGGAACTGCAGCTATTTTTAGAAAGAGGAATTGCTTTGGGGAACCCCTATAAGTACAGCCGCCTGCCTCTCCGTCTCTCCCTTCTCTCCGAACACAACATATGCTCTCATACGCACTTTAAATACAGATGTGCAGCAGCTCAGGGGCAATCCCTTCTTGTGTTTTCCTGCGGCTGTAGCGCATATGCATTTTTAAATTTGCAGTAAGCAGCCAGAATCCTGTCACAAGTTCCATTTTCTCTTTAAAACAGAAAAAAGCCTGAAAAATAGAACACAAAACCAATGCTAACAGCAGGCAGTATGGTTAGTACAAGCCAGTACAAGCAGGTATATCTGGGGAAACATATGCATTGCCTAAGGACCTTCTGTTCACAGGCGCAGATGATGTTTATCCTTTGAATGTGACATTTTGAGCTGACATTAGCTAAGACAGATGACAAGCTAGCGTGTCACTCAGACGTTTGCGCTTGGCACATGGCTGCTGATGGACATACAGGAGCTCTTGTGCTCTGACATTTATATCAGCTGCTCACTCAAATAGTATTTGACTGCAAAATAGCTTATGGTGGGAAAAATCATGTAAATGCCCCAGCGTTTCATTTGCATGCTAGTTTGCTGGAGAATAAAACACAGATGAAAGATGATTGACAAAGGATGATGACGGAGTTTTCTGTTCCGCCGTGTTTTGCAAACGTATGTATGT